AGCGCTGGTTCCGCTCCCAGCGCCCGCCCCGCCGGGGTTTGTGGCCCGAGGCTCTTCCTGCGCGGTCGCTGCGCGCGTGAGGGCAGAGGCAGGAGCTGCCCCGGGCTGGAACCGGCCAGCAGGTTGTCTGAGGAGCTCCTGACTCACAGAAACACCCAACGTCCCTGGCCGGGAAGCCAGAGTCCGTGTGTGCTGCGGCCCATGTGCTTCCCGAAGGCTCGGGCTGCCCGTGGCCGGGGATGGCATCCGCTGGGTGGAACTGCACCTGGGTGTGATGGAGGCAGGACCTGCAGTGCCAACCTGCTCCAGCACAGCCCGGCCATTTGAGGAACACTCTGGAGCCTCATCCCGGCTTTCCAGGTAACACAAATCCCGCCGGTGTCCCTTGGAGCCCTGGCTGACTGCAGCAGTGCGGGGGCCCTGGCACTGCCAAGGCTCCTTTGCAACAGGGGCTGCAGCCAGGACCTGCAGACACCCTCGGGGGCCTCTGCAGGCTGTGCTGGGCCTGCTGGCCCCACCTTCATCCTCTCCATGGCCCACCAACTTCCCGTGCAGTGGGACCTGTGGGGTCCTGCCAGCTGGGGACTGAACTTCTGCTCCACAGGCCGGGCTCTGCATCTTGCCCACCCGTTCTCACACCTGGCTGAGCCCACCTGCCCCACCAGGGGGACAGGGCTCAGTGCAGCCCCTTGCACCAGGCTGAAATCTTGAGGTTCACTGCGTTGCTGACAGCTCTGTTGTTACCTGCTCACCACTGGCGTGTCTGGCAAGGCCACATCCCAGGAAGAGGCACTGGAATGCCAAGCTGTGAGTCCCATTATGAGTTTCAGGACAAGCAAGGCTGAGAGCTGCCCAAAAGACAAGAGGAGGCTCTTTTGTATCCCCCCCTTATGGCCACTTGGAGACAGGATCGTTGTGTCAGACACTTGCCTTCCTGCAAATAGCAGAACCTTCCTGTCTGCGGAAGGTTTTGGGTTATTTTTAGACTTCTCAGTGATTTACTCTCCTGCACCCCAGTGATAATGCAAGCCTACGTTTAAATAAGCATCTGGAGCTGTAACTTAATGTTAAATTAAAATTCCCCGTTATAAAACACAAGCCTAAGAGATGCAAATGGCTAAGCTGTGTTTTCCCTGCAATGGTTTAAGCAACATATTTTAACACGAATTAAGCAACACCGGGCCCTGCCTCCAGAGGAGACATCACTCACCACAGCAACTTGAGAATAACTTCCCAAAGTGAGACTCTAGTTTGAAATAAAATGTGTTTTGTTTAAGAATAAATGCAATCAGTTCACAGCAAAGGGGACGAGTAAACTGCAGAACAGTTAGTCTGGAAAAGGATGTCAATCAGTTTCCCAGCTAGATGTGTCCTTGGGGAGAGAAAGAGTATTTTCAGCCACTTCCAGCACAAACAGCAGTAGCAGACAGTACTTAAATTCCTGCTATTTCCTTCTTGAGAGGAGAGAGGAATATTTCAGTTGAAAGAAAACTAACAGAGTGGCAGTGGACTGACACAAACCAAACTCTCCCTGTGCTGTAACTGAGGCTCAAACCACCCGGGGAGGCAGCCCCAGGGGTTTGATCGCCGCCTTCAGAACCGCCGGGGCCGGGAGGGCGGCAGGAACACGAGTCTCACACCATTCAGGGCAGGATGTCCCGCTCCTCCCGTGCCCGGTGACCTTCCCAGGAGTCGGGCTGCGTGCGGGTCTGCGCAGTGCGGCGGTTTATCAGCGCACCTGGGGAACGGGAGATCGGGACACGCTCGAGCTTTCTAGTCACGGGCAGTAAAGCCAACGGACCGAAACCCAGGAGCGGGAGCGAACGGGAGGCAGCGGGAGCCACCGCAGGGACGCGATCATTGGCCACACACGACTGACCCGCTGAGCGCCTCGGGCTCCGAGCGCCGGCACCGCTGCTGCCTGCGGGGGGGAACCGCCCGCTTCCCCTCGGTGCTGCGGCCAGACCCGGGCAGGGACCCCGGGCAGGGACCCCGGGCAGGACCCCCGCGGGCCCCGCCGCCGCGGGACTACACGTCCCGGCAGCC